CCTCCCTCCATACTACCCCGGTGGGAGGGCGCCCCCGATGGCCTCTCAAGGCAGGAACGCTGGTTCTCGCGAGACTAAAGCCGAGCCTCCGTGTATAAGCACGGGCGCAGCCTCCGTGTATAATGATCGCTATGGAAGCGGCGGCCCTCCGTTGTCTAGCGACTGCTTGCCGTCGCTGCCGCAAAGGCGTCTGGGAATGCGAGCGCCTCGTGCGGGAGCGGAACGGGACGGCAGGAGAGCCGCTGGCGGGAGGAGGCTGCTGCAGAGCGTCTCCGAATGGCGGTGGCTGCCTTCAGGGTGAAGGGTTGGGGTGCAGTTGCCCGAGGAGACGTGGGCCCGAGTATAGCCTTGACCACAGCTAATACTGTACTGCCCTGCCGGGTTGACGGTCTCTGGAGCGCTGACGATTCGTGAAAGCTGCCAGTGCTGACTTTTATTAGGTTCTAGAGTCCAAGAATACTGAACCAGGCAAGATAATCAAGTTTATTATAGCCCTTAGGCCAGATACAGTCTGTATAGCAAGATAATAAAATAAATGCCCTTTAAAAAGAAGGAGCGGTTTAAGACACGTCTTATAATGTTGAAGCGTCGGGGATCTGTAGACATACGGAGTCCTCTTGGGTAGGAAAGGGGTTCGGTTGTACGAAGGAGTCTTCCCATTTCGGCTGCGGAATAGAATTGAACTGTTCAAATTCGGTTTTGTTTTTAATTATTTATATACCGAGTGATAATTAAAAGGGTACTTCTCGCATTTTTATTGTTTAAAACTTACTGCGTTATTCTCATTTTTTTCCTGCTGTGTGCAGAACACTCGACAGTGGGCAGAAATAGAAATCTAGCTGAAAAATGAATTTATTTGTACATATATCTCATGCTTTTCCCTTGGAAATTTAAAGGTCTCTATGCATGAAAGTCTCTTCTCATTTTATCGTCACAACAACCCTATGAGACAGATTAGGCTGCAAGGTAGTGATTAACTTAAAGTCACCCACTTGATTAATGGGTTCATGAACTGGGTTTCCTCACTCATTATGTCACCTTAATCATTATAATACTCTTCTAAATGATGTGCATAATCCAGGCAAATTTAAATACTTTAATTTGGAGAATTGAAAATTGAACATGTGATCACCGCTATCTGGTTAAGATAAATAAAATGAACATTTAGCTTTGCTTTAATTGTACCCAATATTTGTGCTTTTTTTATGCAAGCTTGCTTGTATCAATGATCATTAGAGTTGATAATTAAATTTTTATACTGGTATATCTATACACATGTACCCAAAGGGTGCTGAAAATGGATGAGGGTGCAGGAGTGGCTACATTTTTTTTCCATACTGGATAACACACTTTAGGAAGGATACAGAGAAACTGGAATAGATTCAGAAAATGGCACAGTGGATGATTGGGAACCAGTAATTAAGTCTTATGAAGGGAGATGAAAGAATCTGGCTATGTTTTGCATTGAGAAAAGATCACTGAAGTGGGATATAAAATCACTCTTCAAAGACCTGGAAAGATGTCATATAAAAGATCAAGGTCTGTTCTCTTCTTTCAGAAATTAAGATACAGGAAGACACATTCTAATTAAGTGTTACAAATGTTTAAAAAAATCCCAATGGTAAGAGCAGCTGACAGTGGAATCAATTACAGAGAGAGGTGGTAGGCCCTCCAAAGACCATTATTGTATCTCTGATATTTTAATTTAGATTCCTGCCCTGGGCAGGGGATTGGCCTCAGTGACCTAAATGGCCTCTCAAGCTCTACAATTCTAAATTTTGTGTTTTTAACTATTGTTAATTGTCAGAACTTTTAAAGATTTTAAATTTTTGCAAAGAAGTTTTGTAATAATAACAAATATATCAATTACTATACAAACCTGAACATAACATTTTTATGTTTTATTGATTTCATTTTAATTTCTTTGTCTGTTGTGAGTCGCCCAGAGTCATTGAGGGTCTGGTGGCAAACAAATTTAATAGATGATGATGATGATGATGATGATGATGATGATTACATATTCAGTTTCTAGCACTACTAAACCAATGATTGCAGAGTTTGCTTTTTTTCTTTTCATAATTTTTTATTTTCTGATAAGCAAAAGGTCAATGATGGCAAAGTACAAGAGGGTTATAAATAGAAAATGGCAAGGTATGGATTCTTATAAAACTTTCAGTGAAGTAGGGCAATTGCAAAATAAAAAATTGTCTAGAAGTACTATCAAATTATTTCACTTCTACTTTAAAATCAACTCTCGTTTTCTGAGAACATAAGCTTTCACAATGAAAAGTGAATTTATTAATCATTGGTGCAGAGAAATGCTGAAAAGCATTATTAAATTGTTCCAAGCATTAAATAATAAGAATGGAAATTATCGTTATTCCAGAACACATCTTCCTTCAAATTCACCGATCTGATTGCTTTTGGGGCTTCATCCAGGACTTTTAAGCATTTGGGGTTAGAATGATTTGGAGTGAATTATTCACTTATGGTAGACAGAAAGATTGCTTTTCTCAGCAAAAATAATCCAAATCGTAACTGGTACATTTGAACCAGTGTACCAGTTACGATTTGGATTATTTTTGTTTAATGGGATTAACTGAATTTATCTCAGTTCGGATCTCAGCAGTAATAACAATTTTTAGAACTCTGCAAAGCTTTGAAGAGGTGCTGTACTGTGCTTTGCTTAATGTTTGATTGAAGCATCTCTTAGTAGCTGCTTCACCATGCAATGTGACTCCCTCACCCCATCCAAAGCAAAGCAGCTTTGTTGTCTTGCATCAGTGTCTGTTGTGATGCAGGTCTGATAGCCAGAAGAGGATTCTGTGCGTGTGCTGTACATGCACGGATGCCTCTTCTAACTCTTCCAGCCAGATACTAGATCTATTAGATGAATCTTCATCAAAGTAAATTGCATTATCTCCTTGTTTCAGTGAGACACAGTGTTATCACCTCTCACTTATCTTAATAGTTTCACTGAAGCAGGTCTTTAGTTCGGAAAAATGCAAAGCATCTGCTCTGCAACTGAGATGAAGTCCCTCTGCTCCTTAAGAGGGGATTGAGGCCCCATGGAAATGAGCAGATATTTTTTCCCTCAATATAGATCTCTCTTTTCCAGTAATGAGATATTGTAGCCATATTAATATTTACCTGTATAATATTTAAAGTATGAAAAATTGAGATTGGTTACCATGTAGAATATGAACTATAATGTATTGAGTATAGTATGGTTTCAGGAAAGCCAGTAAGAGCCAGATACATTCCATCTTAAATTAATCTCCAAACATATTTGTTGATTTTTGAAATTTGCATTTTAACAAAATATTTGTATGGATACATTAAATTACTGAAAATAAGGATGAAAGTATCTGAATTCAGATGCCTCTATATTGTTTTAACCTTGTCATAAATACAATATGTTAAAAATAGTTTCAATGAACTAAAGGTCAATATTTAAAAAACAAACTTCAAAGGGATTATTTTGCAAAAAAATTATATGTTTTAGAATATCAATGTCCTTCTATTGGACTATAGCCTGATCACCTTTTTTCCCCTGTGTTAATATCTCGGCTCCAGAATGCCATTCAAACAGATTTGCATTGGAGTTGCTTATTTCTACACATATATGTACTTAACTGTTTCTCCACAAAATTTGCATGATGAACTATAAACAGATTTGGGTAAAACTCATTTGCTAGTAAAAAAAGTAAATATTTACTTATATCACTAATTCACATATTTGTTTTCTTCAAATCATGACAGAACACATAGAGAAGGAAGTTCCAGATAATCTGCTTTATTGGAGTAGAGGCACATAACTCATGGGCTATATGCAGCCCCATAGAGATTTGAGTGCCACTACTCAAGGTATCATTGGATTTCTATTGAAATGGTGCCAATATGCCACCCAGATTTGGTCCATGCCAGGAAGGGATACTAAGTGCTAATGAGTTCTGCTATTGCTACACCACTCCTGCTTTTCTATGCCTTCACACTGTACCACTTCTTCCCTGCTTCTGCTGCCCCATTCAATCCTGTCTATTGTCCAGCCCTTCCTACTGCAATTTCTTCCTTTCCTCTCAACTGAGATCTTTGCCGTTAGCTTTGTATGTGCGTGTGTTTTTTTTTTTTCCCTTTCACATTCCTTTTTGCTCCAAACTCACTCCTTGTCTGAGTTCCTTTCTTAGTTTCTTTTCCTGAACACTGAAGGGGGAGGAGGAAGAAGATTGGGCTTCTAACATCTCCAAACAACTCTGCAGGTCAAGTGCTAGTTCACCAGTGTTTTGGCAAACCATATTCTGGGCTATTACATACCGAGCAAATAAAAATGAATTAAATATTAACTGTTCTAAATTTTGATTGTTAAAAATAATAATTGTTTTAAACGTATTAAACGTATATTTAATTTTTAAAACTTATTTTCTTTGCGGGAATGCTGTTCTATAATGGATAGGGAGAAATCCCA